TACTAAATTCTTATCGAGCGTCTCTCTTCTCTCTTTACAACACTCTCTCCACTTCCACTTGTTTTCTCTCCTCTTCTCTCCTCTTCTCAACAACACTCACTCCACTTCCACTTGTTTAGGAATGCGGGAGCGACTTTAAAAAAGAAAACGACTTTTGCCCCTTTCTGTTCACAAGTTGTAGTTGTTGGCAGTGAAGCAGCGCTCTCTCCTCTCTCTCTTCTTCCACTGGTGCAGTCTGTGTCCCGTCTTCGTTGTTACTGACGATACTCTCCCTCTCTCTCCTGCAGTACGCCCAGGAGACTCAGCACGAGAAGATCCTCCGCGGGCTGGCCGTGGGCCTGGCCCTCACCATGTACGGCCGGCTGGAGGAGGCGGACCCGCTGGTGTCGTCGCTGTGCCAGGACAAGGACCCCATCCTGCGCCGCTCGGGCATGTACACCATCGCCATGGCCTACTGCGGCACGGGCAACAACCAGGCCATCCGCCGCCTGCTGCACTTCGCCGTCAGCGACGTCAACGACGACGTGCGACGGGCTGCCGTCATCGGCCTGGGCTTCCTGCTCTTCAGGTGAGTGTAACTTGCACCCCGGGCACCCTAGGGGCTGCGCCCCGGTGGCGGCGCGCTGCCCGCGAGGATCAAGGCTAGAGGAGGGTCGACGAGGGGGAATGTTAATAGAAAATTCCGGCGTGCAAAGTTATTGTTTCTCGACGCGGGGGTGGGGGTCTCTGGCGGGGAGCGCGCTGCCGCGGGACGCCGGGCGCGCTGCGGGGTGCGGCTGCACCGCACGTCCGAGAGGCCAGGAGGGCGGCGGAGCGGAGCCGGCTCTTCTGCGTCGTGTTCCTTATCAATGTGACGCTCCGGGCCCGAAGGGTGAGGGGCGAGGGGAGGCAGGCGCCCCCCCCTCCCCCCACCCCCCGAGGGGTGGGGCTTCCACCTCAGGAGAGCAGGCTACTTTGCGTCTGCAATTATCGTGCCGACCCCCTCCCCCTCTCTCTTGTTTCTTATTCTTTCGCACTTTAATGACGTCTGTCGCTTTACCTTTCTGCCGCACATTTTCCGCCCTGAAAGCTTTTGGGTCGAGCAGCGCGCGGCCGGCCGACCCCTTACCGATTCTTGTCCAGCCCAGAAATCTCTCGTCTCGTCTCTCTCGCTCTCACACTGGAGGGGTGGACGCGGAAGAAAAAAATACCGCAAACAGTAAAAACTTCTTTCTTTCCGTTTGTGGCTGACGGTGCAATCATCAAAGTTTTGAAACGTTGTGGCGGGTCCTCTTTTCCCCTGGCTGGATAGTGATGGGGACGCCACATCTCGCCCCGCCCCACCCCACCTTGCGCCGGCTCT